CAGCTCCTGCTGGGTGTGACCATGATCTGTTTAAATTGGGGGCTGTATCTTTGTACCACACTCTTTCAAGTAAAACAAAAATCCCTTCCCTCCATCTACAGACAATAGCAATGTATGAATCTAGTCCAGCATTTTTCAACCTTGGCAGCTTTTAGATGTGTGGACTTCAACTCCCAGAATTCCCCAGCCAACCTTGCTGGGAGTTGAAGTCCACACATCTAAAAGCTGCCAAGGTTGAAAAACACTGGACTAGTCATATTCAGATTGTTAAATGAATCAGTTTGAAAAGCCAATTGAGTTTGGAGAAAAGCCTTTTCTGTACATTTGCAAAATGCAATTGGGGTATTGGATTGACTTGGAGGCAGCAAATTGAGCAAATTCAATCTAAGTTATTTTCTTTTATTTAAAAGATTTATATAGCCACCCAACTCGTGTAATTGCAACTCTGGGCAGTGTACACGAAATAAAAATCAAACCAAAAAATAACGATTATAGGTAAAAACAACCATACAAAATCAAAACAAGATCCGTAGTCACCATATCAAACAATATATGGCGGGCGTCAACCAGCACCTCCCAGGAGAGCTTACCTGTCATCCTGGCCCAAGTTCTGGAAGAAAAACCAGGATTATAAAGCTTTCCAGAAGGTTAGCAGGACCAGCGCCATCCAAAACTCCAGGAGAGTTTTCCAAAGAAAGTTTTCCATTCCAAAAAACAGGTGCTGCTACAAAAAAGGCTTTCTTCCTAGAAGTTCCAGTTCAGAAAGTTGATTTGAATCAAATCTTTTCACAACCCTAGTAATTAACCATCTTTTATGGCACATGGGTGACCTTAAACAAACAAAGAAAAAGCTATAGGAGGTTCCCTGTTTACCTTCTTACGGTGGAGTCCTTGGTGCTCTCTGAGCTTGGTTGTTTGCTTGCAGGTATTTCATTATCCGACCAGGTAACATCATCAGTGCGCTGAAGATGTTACCTAGTCAGGTATTGAAACATCTGCAAGCAAACAACCAAGCTCAGAGAGCACCAAGGAGTCCACAGTTCAACTCTGAGCTGCATGTATTCTCTTCTTTTGTTACCTTCTTATTCACCTTGGGCAATCTGATTAGTGGATAGAAAATGCCAGATTGGTGGCTTATATATCTAATTATTGTTATTGTCTTGATGTTCAATTCATTCATATCATTTGGTCTTTTATTTTCCAAAATTCTCCTCTTTGTTAGGCGTTATCCTGCTAGAAACAATGGTGTTTGGATGGCCTTGAATGATTTTCGGATCAGTATATAAATGTGTGAAGATGCCCTTTATTGCTTGGGTGACTGTCGGCTTTGCTGCCCATGATGTCTTTCATGGGCGGCAAAGCTGATACTCATGCAACTAATAAAGGCATCTTCACACACTTGTCATACACGCATTTTTAAACATTTCTTCGCCGGTTTATTGAAAACATTTTATTTTTGTTGGTTGTTTGCTTCCTTCCAGCCGCATCAACAGCGAGAGCTTCCTCTGTGATTGTCAGCTCAAGTGGTTGCCACTTTGGTTAACCAAGAAAGAACAACAGCTGTTTGTGGAAGCCACCTGTGCCCACCCAGAAGCATTAAAGGGCAGAAATATTCTTGAAGTGGTACCAGAAAGTTTTGTATGTGGTGAGTCTTAGCTGCCGCATGGTAATTTTGAGGTTGCTTTGGAGGGTAGCCCTGATGCAGGAATGACTATGTATTTTGTGGTCAGCTTATTATTTCATATGCAGTGAAGTGCAGCATCCCCTTTCGTTGGTTGCCTTCACCATTGAGCAGGACTGTAAATCATATTGACAACATATATGGGAGCAGAGATCCCAAATGGGAGCTTGGGGACTCATTTGGTGGTCATGGAAATTTGATGATAGGAAGCGTTAGAGCTTGTGATGAGAAGGCAGTAACAGCCTTTCTGAATGGCATATCCTGCCTTGATTCATCTTAATCTGGTTTCCAGCTTGGATGAGACTGCCTTGACTTCTCCAGCAGCTGATCTTCCTTGATCTCTTTGGCTTTTGTTTCCACACACTGGTTAATTTTATGAAACAGAGGATTTTTCAAAATGTTTGCTAGGCTATTAGCTTGATTTTGCTTTAAGGAAAGTATTACAATGATAAAAGTAAATCAACAATGAACAAAACAAATGACTGGCAAACTGTGAATAACTCCTAACCTAATAGCAAAACTGCACATTAGTAAAATGTAGAATGTTATTAGGACACGAAGGTTCGCTGTGAAAGAGATTCTATGATCTCTATTTCCCTTCTACTTGGCCTTATTGTCATGAAGCCTAAAGCAACGCACACTTCTCCAACTTATGTTCACAAGGTTCTGGTTGTGTAAACTAGGATAAGAGATGAGTGGGCCAATCCCATTGTTCACAAATGAGGGCTAATTAGAGGTGTTTTCAAAGCGTGATTGTATCTTGAGTGTCTCTCTCCCTTCTACATGTTTAAATGGGAAATCTGTTAAGGCTTCACCATCTGCAGGAAGCAGTTCCCTTATAATATGTTCTTACCCAAATTATTTATTGCATTATTGCTCCTCCCACCTTTTTTTTGGTCCTTATATTCCGTTATCTGTATATTCATTTATTTTTTATTCCACTTTAAAAACTCAGAAGATGGTTAATTCATCATCTCAACAGATAAATAGGAGTTATCAAATCAGTACAGGAATCTGAAAAGGAAACTGATTTCATAAACGTGCTTTGGAACCCATGCTTGAGAGCCAGTACCAGAGAAAATAAAATCCTTACAAGCATAGATGAATAATTTGTGTTCTACTTTGTAATTTCTGGGCAGTTCAGAGCTAGTCTTGAGACAAACTCATCGGATACCCATTCAATAACCTGCTTGAATTTTGAGGGTAAAGTTTCTTGCATCAACTCCAAATTAGACACCACAATTAATGCAGATCCTCTTGGGTTGTCAGGGCTTCATCTTGTCAGAATGTGTGGGATTGGTTTCAGTTAGTGTGACTGAGGAAGTGAACAAAAATCTGTAGGGTTTGAAAAACCATCTAAGTGGGTGGGTCTAGGGATTGATCAGTGCCTCTTTACATGAGGGAGTGATGTCTACTGCCTTGAAGGAGGCCGTGGTGCATTCTGTCTTGAAAAAGCTCCCCCTAGACTCTGAGATTTTGGAGAATTATCACTCAGATGGAGGAGGTGGTCACCGTCTAGTGAATACTGGAAGAAGCTGATTATTTGAATCCATTTCAGACTGGCTTCAAACCTGGACACAGCTTTGTTTGCTCTAATTGATTATTTCTCTCAGAGGAGAGGCATTAGGATCCTATTCCTATTTTCAGAACCGTGACCAGAGTGGCAGTGAGAAATTTCAGTTTGGCCCGTGGCAGTTGAGGTTCTCTGAAGCCTCTGCTGTTCATGAAGTTCCAGAATGGGTCATCTGGAAAACTCGAGTTCAGTGTCATCAGTATGCTTCATGGAGAAATGAGAGAGAGAGTTGAGTGTTATCAGTATGATATATATTTTTCCCTTTGCAAATTGGCTTGGGCCATTTTTCAGCTGCTAGTTCAGAGAACAGTTATGAGCAGCACAGCAATCATGAAGCTGTTGAATACACATGTGCCTTTTTCAAAGAAGGTTTTGGAAAAAAAAAAAGAATTAAAGGGTAAAGCACAGCCAAAGTTGCACTTGGCTCATCCTCTTCTTAAACAAAATAGTTCCAGATTTCTAAAAATCTTTGCCCTTTCTTCAGGATGTTGATTGGTGCAGAACCAAAACTTTAGACACTTCTTAGTTTTGCCTGGAGAATAAAGCATTAGAGAGCTCTCTTTTGAAAGTATAAACTCTTAACCTCGCCTAAGCACATTCATGAGGCAAAGCCTAGGCAAGAAATTAGAATAATAGAGCATCCCAATTGCATGGAAAATCACCTTTCCTGCCTTGCATGGATGCAATAATATTGTTCTGTCACCTACTTTTTTTTTTGGAGGGGGGATGCATTGTATTTTTTTAAAAATAAAATAATAATAAATAGTAAATCTACCATATTTGACAGTGATTGTATCCACCCCTTGTTTATTGCATGAAGTTAGAGCAGTGTTTCTCAACCTCAGCAACTTCAGGATGTATGGACTTCGACTCCCAGAATTCCGTAGTCAGGATGCTAAAATAGCGTTCATTTAATCCATTTCACCTTCTATCCTATTAAAAACTGCAATTTGGTAACAACCTTTGGAAGAGCTTCAGGGTTATACTGAAAAGTTCCAGGGTTGGCATGTGGCCTTGTGGCCTCACGTTGTGCATTCTTGCTTATGCTCTGAGCTGCAGATAAACAAGGCCTTGGAAAATCACTGCCAGCCGTGGAGTTGTGACATCCCCCAGCAATGTACTGCCACTCCTCGGGAGGGATGGGGGGGCCCTGCTGCTCCTGTCACTCAGGGCATTGCTGCTAGTTGTGGCATAGCAGCTGAGTCATGAGGTCTGTTCTCTTCGGTCATGCCTGGAATGTGCTAGAACCCCGGGCTCAAGATAGTATAGGATTGCTTGTCTGTCTGTCTGCCTGCCCTCTTCAGAATCACAGATGTTTTGGCTTTGAGAAACTATAAAATCGTCACCGATACACTGCCTGTGCCCGGCATATCCACTGTATTCATCTTACACCAACCCTTTTTTCAGTGTTCGGCCCACTGCAGTCTCTCCTCCCAGACATTATAGAATGCAAGATAGAATTGGAAACCTGAATCTTGAAATGCATCAGGAGTGTTTGTTGTCCCTTCTTGGGCCAATTCAAAGGCATAAAACTAAACATTAATGCCTGTCTTCCGCCGATGGTGGTATGAGGCTGCACATGGCAGGTGCCATGTTTGAATACTCATACTTTGACGCTTAGACTAAAGCCTTCATTTTGACATGTGAACTTTCCGTGTACAGGATCCTTTCCCCTGAATGGAGCCTCTTGCGGTCTGGAAGCCTGTAATTAAGGAAGGGAAATGCTATCCTTTCTCCTTTTGCTACTTACTGAATTGGTGCTCAGTGTGGATTTGAGACATTGGCATTCTAAACTGCATTCTTAAAACGTGAATGTTAGCGGTGGCAATCTCACCATTTGACCGTCTCTTGTCATTGTTACCACTGTGCTCCTTTGAGGGGGAAGGAGGGAAGGGGGTAATGGTTAATATTGAAATGAGAGATGTTTTGTGTGTGATTAATAAATTAAGCTGCTTGGAACTCCGCTAAACCAAATAGTCTTCACTGCTGGGCCCCAAGCACAAGCCTTTGCTTTGGATAGAGGACAAACAGATCTATCTGCCACGCCTTCAAAGTCCACGTGCCGGGATGCTGTCCCGCCCATCAGCACTTGGCACTAATGGTGTTACTTGCAGTAGTTGTAACTCTTAACAAATTAACATGCTGCATAAAAGTGGAAATTGAGTAGGATGCATGTGTGTATCTTATATGTAAACTGTATTTTTATATATATACCAATTTTTTCTGCATGCCTTGGAATTAGTGGATCAGTGGTAAGTCATGGGAAAGCCTAGTTTTGTCCCTTCACCAAAAGGATTTAAGATCATTATTTTCATCACATGTCACCTCATTAGGATTGTGGCTATCTTATTATAGGTCATCCCATAGATATTCCTTAGGGCCTACATCCCCCAAAATATGTTTTGAATTCCTTCTGGTGTTTTTCATAATGCCTGTTACCATTCAGCTTAATTTTATGCAAAAGGAAACAGGCAATAGTAGCCACATAAATGCAGATATTGTCGACTACAGTAAATAGGTGGGAGGGACAGGACTGGTGAGTACTTGGATGGGAAGCCATTAGGATTTTTTCAGAACTGTAGGGATAGACAGAGAAGTAAACAAACAAACAAACAGCATCTTGGAAGAAGACAATGATAATCCACTTTGCTATTATTTCCCAAAAACACTTGGGTGGATGTAGCAGTAGCATCTTACCTTTTCAGTAAAGTGAAATTCTATAAGAAATGCAATGGAGATGGGGAACTGGGATTGAGATTCCCAGTGGGATAAAGTGTGGGATAAAGTGGGATTGTACTATATTTGAATTTCATCGTCAGAGATTACATGAAGCACGCTGCTTTTCTTAATGACAATCAACCGAAGACTACTGGTGTGTTTTAGATATCTGTGCACCCTTCTAAAGGGGAAATGGTTCATTTCTTTTCCAGAGGATTTTCCCAAACCCAAAATTATTGTTGAACCAGAAACTACGATGGCCGTCCTTGGCAAAAACATTCGCTTCACCTGCTCAGCTGCTAGCAGCAGCAGCTCTCCGATGACCTTTGCCTGGAAGAAGGACAATGAGATTCTGCACCACGCAGAGATGGAGAACTTTGCACACGTCCGAGCCAGGGATGGCGTGGTCATAGAGTATACTACCATTCTGCACTTGCGCCACGTTACTTTTTCCCACGAGGGACGCTATCAGTGCATCATTACCAATCATTTTGGCTCAACCTATTCTCACAAAGCTCAGCTTACTGTTAATGGTGAGTGAGGAAGAAATGTGGCTTGAAAATCATCTGCCTTATAGAAACTAGCTTTTTCTACTTTTATTATCATATTGTTAAGCGGCTTCCTTTAACCTGAGAACTTCATCTTCCAGAATTCCCCAGCTAGGATTTGCTGAGTTTCTGAGAGTTAAAGCCCAAACATCTGGAGGCACCCAAGTTGGAGAAAGTGACCTAAACATCCCTCTTTCTAGATGCCAATGTTGAAGCATAGCAACAAAAAAAGGGAAACGACTCCAAAGTGATGTAAACACCAATAATAATTCCTTTCTAGTTTATGTGCACAAAGGATTGGTTTGACATTGCGTAAAAATTATTCTCCTGGACAAGTGGTGGTCAGGCTTATAAACGTTGGCTTGATTCATTGGGACTTTTCCCATTGCCTTTATCTAAGTGTTACTATCTAGTACTTCCAAATTAACTTAAAACACTCCATTTGGAGTCCTGCATTTTAATTTTGATTCATAATGTCATAGGAATTGAACACTGTTCTGTAAGTTCAACTGAACGAAGAGGTTGAGCTCTGTGGTCAAATTGCATGTAGTCAGATACCATCACTATACATTTCTATTTTTTTTAAAAAAAAAGCCTGCTGGAAGAAAACTAGCACAGCAGGAATAATATGGTAACCCAGCCTTCTACTGCTGTGTTGTGCTACTTTTCTGCTGTTCATCCAGTGAGCTCTTTCTATTACTTCTGAAGCCTTTCAGACCAACAGATACCTCTTAAGATTTGGGGACTCCATTTTGGAAACAGACACAGTTGCAACTTGCAATTAAATTGCAAAATTTCTGGGTTGACCAATTTGGTAGAGACTTGATGGAGAAAATGTAAAACTTGGAAAACAAAGGACATGTACATAATTTCCATTCCTTCCTGAAAACTGATCATTTAAATATTTTGCTTCAGTTCTTACAGTCTAAAATTATTCTGGAGACATTCTAACTGGGAGAGCAATGATTTATGCCTGAGTGTTATATTGACTATTTATCATATTTATTTTTATTTATATGAAAATGTATTCCTTGATTTTCCCTCACTTCATGCAACTCACAAAATATTAAAACAAGCATCAGTTACCAGACAAAGCCACTATTGGCAAGTGACAACACAGGCTCAACACTAACAATAAATGATTCAAAGGAAGACTGTAGTTGATTACCAGTGGAATGCAATTAGAAAATAACCTGCCTTTCTCAGGCAATGAATTCCATAGTTTGGAGTTCTGTGGTTTTGTGCATGAATGCAAGAGCTGTCATGTTGCAAGTGTTGTAACAGGATTGAGGTGATGAGAAGACAGGCAGATGATTCCAAAAGATGGTTGTCTGCCTTCAAGGTGCAGGGCTTGAACTTTCATAAGGACTGCCCTGCATCCAAGTCCAGGATAGAGCCTTTCCTTCAATGCAGGCTGCCATTTTTGTTCCCGAAGTAGAATGTAAAGATGCTTTGGAACAAGTAAGTTATTCTGACTCACATGGAGAAATCCATCCTCTAATGCAGTGTTTTTCAAACTTGGCAGCTTTAAGAAGTATGGACTTCAACTCCCATGCTGGCTGGGGAATTCTGGGAGTGGAAGTCCACACATCTTAAAGTTGCCAAGTTTGAAAAACGCTGCTCTAATGCCAGATCTCAGTGGGATCCATATATATTTGCAATCCATGTTGCATTTTATCTAGGATATTGCAGTAGTGCAACAAAGTGAATCTGTATTGGGGCAAGGATGTTGCAGAAGAGAGAGGGTGTAGCACTAATGTGTCCACAATTGGAAGGATCATGAAGCTGTCCCTGTCTTGTGTCAGTCTGCAGCAGTCTTCTGCATGTCCCTAGAAAAGTTGGCCAGTTGCGAACCGCAGCAAGCTAGTTTAATGTTTCAGCAGTGTGGAGACAATTCTTCCTCTAATAACCATTCAGCAATGAACCATAATCTCTATAGTTGCTGCCTTCTCAGTTGTTTTCTGTACAGTTTTCCGTTTGTGGTACCTGAACGTAAATCGGGGAATCCAAACAAAGAAGCAGAACCATATTATCTATGCTGAAATGCAAATTTTTGGAAATGCCTCCAATGTGCTGGAGAAAGTTGACATGCTATAGCAAAAAAATGCGTTTGAGTCCTGATTGTGCTGGGGGTGCGCAGCCAGTATTCTTTACTGGCTTGAGGTGCCATCACTCCCTTTGTCTTCCACAGTGTTGCCATCTTTCCTCAAAACTCCCCACGACATTGCGGCCCGTGCAGGGACAACGGCTCGGTTGGAATGTGCTGCTGGTGGGCACCCTACCCCCCAGATTGCTTGGCAGAAGGACGGAGGAACAGACTTCCCTGCAGCTCGAGAGCGTCGCATGCACGTCATGCCCGACGATGATGTCTTTTTCATCACAGATGTGAAGATAGATGACATGGGCATTTACAGCTGCACTGCTCAGAATTCTGCAGGTTCTGTGTCAGCAAATGCCACCCTGACTGTGCTGGGTAAGAAATCTTTATAGATCTGCTTCACTGAGAAGATGAACAATACATTCAAAATGATCCCATAGAGAAATAGTTTGAAAAGAACTGGGTGAAATTTAGGGAGACAAATTTAAAACTTTTTCACTTAGAAAAAAGATGTGAAAGTGTAGAATATAGGTCAGATGCCTGGATTGGTCATGGAACGTTTGAGAAGGATTTTGGAGTTGGAGTTGATCACAATCTGAATTGGAGTCAGCAAGGGTGATTTGGTTGCAAAAAAAAAAAAAAAAGCCTACATCAAAAGATGCATCATTTTTAAATCATGGGAAGTGATTGGTATTCTCGGCCCTGCATCAACCGGTCCCTAAAATGCTGTGCCCTCTTTAAGAAAGATTCAGATAAACTGGAAAAGGTTCAAAGAAAGAGAGGAATCTTTAATCTCTTCTTTTGACATAAAATTGGCCAGAAGTATATAAAAAATAAAGTATTTTCCAGAGGAGCTGTCGGGAGGCTCAGCTTCTCATGTTGGCATCTTCACCGGAAGTCGATTAAGGAATCTGAAAATACGCCCCGGGAGGTGAGGTCAAGGGAACTATAAAAAAGCTTTCTACGGAAAGGCTGAGGAACTGTCTGTGTCTGGCTTTCAAAAACACAGCCCTCAAAAAGAGCAGCGCCACAGAGAAGAAGGCCTTGACTGGTTTCTGTCATCCCAAGGGGCAGGATATGAAATAAGGGCCTTAAGTCACAGGAAGGGAAATTCCGGTTGAATGTTAGGGAAAAGGACTTAATTGTAAGAGCATTGGAACCAACTGGCAAGGGAGGTGGTGGGATCCCCTTCACAGGAGGCTGGATAATCATCCCCTGGGGAATTCCTGTCCTGAATGGGGTGGACTTGAGCTTGGCTTAACTGGCCCCTTAAGATGCTGTTGTAAATGGGAAACGGGGGCTGCATGTAAGAAGGAATTAAGTTATAAAGTTGTTTTCCCTATAGCCAAACAGTCCAATTGGATTTTGTTAAAAGGGTTAGGATTCTGGAGTGGTATCTTTGCAAAAAAGAGCAGTTAGGGGTGTGTGTGTGCATGCACACACGCACACACATACATACATGGAACCGCTGCTAGTCATTCCTTATTCAGCCCATTGAAATACACGGAGCTGGAAAGGCAGAAATGGTAGAGGGGCAAGCTCATTTTCCCAGGCTGAATATTTCCAGGATACCAGTATTTGTGAGTTAGGGTCTGAATATTTTGGGAAATATTGCACAAAACCCAGGTACGAATATCCTTAAAAATAGGATCTTGGAAACATGTATGTATGTATTTTATTTCCATCCATGTATGACTCTGGGCTGCTGTAATATTGCATACTTCTATTGTATAATGTATTATAAATCATTATTATTACTGTTACTGTTACTATTGGTCTGAATCAGTCCACTGCAGGATGAAGGCCCTTCACTGAACAGCAGCTACATAGGATGACATCATTCCTTGCCACTGTAATCAGGATTTTTAAAGTGACTATTAACTACACCCTTTTTGAATCTTCGGTGATCACCATTTTTTACACTAGCACTGTTTTAAATATTTAAGCACAAATACTCTGCAGCTGAACAGTGGCTGCTGTTTATCAGGATGAGATTCAGGAGGCAGGAGTTTCAGCTGACTATTCAGTAGAAAGCAAGGCAGACTGTAGTTCAGAACTGAGGAGTATGCCTCTTGTAAAGGACACTTTATTGTGGCATAGCCCGAATTTCAGACTGCTCCTTGCTATGATATCAGAAATAGATAGAATGACATCATTTATATGGTATCATTTCTTTCTGGAATCTTGTAGAGACTCCAAGTTTGGTTCATCCGTTGGAAGATCGTGTTGTATCTGTTGGTGAAACTGTGGTTCTGCAATGCAAAGCAACAGGAAGTCCACCTCCACGCATCAACTGGCTGAAGGGTGACCGTTCTCTGACGGTTACTGAAAGGCATCACTTTACTCCAGGCAACCAGTTGCTTATTGTCCGGAATGTTGTGTTGGAAGATGCTGGGAAATACACATGTGAAATCTCAAATACAGTTGGAACAGAACGGGCACACAGCCAAGTCAGCGTATTGCCTTCATTTGGCTGCCGGAAGGATGGAACCACCTTCGGAATCATCACTATTGCTGTAGTATGTAGTATCGTATTGACTTCTCTGGTTTGGGTGTGTATCATCTATCAAACCAGGAAGAAGAGTGAAGAATACAGTGTCACAAACACAGGTTAGTGCAAAATCTTGTTTTTGGTTGCTGGGACACTAAATCACAAGGAATAATTTCATCAGCTCCACTGAGTAGAACATTCACAGCTTAAAAAACAGACTGGCTTTGCTCTTCTCCAAATGTAGTGGACAGTTCCAGGTGCAATTGCTAGGTAGTTGCATAATTTGTAGGTTTGTCTTCACACATCCCAACCCATGCTTCCAAGAGATTGCACATACCCTAAAGCATAGCCTTATGTAACAGCAGTTTTGACTATTATCCTAAGTATGCTTTGAATTATACCTCCTTAGAAGGCCCTCTTTGCTCAAAAAATCAAGTGTAGTGCAGGACCCCACCTGATATGATGCTCCTTTTCCATAAAATAAGTGAGCTGCAAAAATAAGATTCAAAAATAAGATTCAGATTACTGAATTTGAATACAAGCAATGTATCTGCTGCTTGCTAACCCCTGTGCTCTCACTTTTGTTAAAGATAGCCTACTTGCCAACCAAGAGGGGGTATTACCTAAAAATGAAGACTGCCCCATCTCAGAACAGGAAAACAGTAGGCATGTTTTTGGTTAAGTTGATGGTTACGTGATATATAATAAAGCTGTAGTTCTCTGGTTCTTGCTCTTGAAACGTGAGCCAAAGGGGACACACACCTTGCTCCCTGACACAACCATTGTTCACCCATCAGCTGTTTTTTATGACCCATGATTGGGCCAGCAAGTTAGGAGCCAATCAGCAGCATGCTGTCTTCAGTCGGAATAGCTCAGTGAACTTTATATATGCTGACCTTATTTGCATTGACTGACAGTGATAAATGTTTAGGGCAGCCCCCAGACTGCTTCTTCACTTACTTCTGGAACTTGTAGTCTTTCCTGCTTAATGTAATTTCCAGACATTCTGAGCCATAATTTATTCTTGTTTTTGAGAATATAATGGTGCCTACAGCCTGTTCAACTGAAGAAGCCTTTGTCAATCTGGCATCTCTACACAATTCCCAGTCCCCTTAGATGAAAGCTGGGAATTCTGGCAGTTGTGGCACCCACGCCTGCTGTGGGCACCTGTTTGAAGAATGGTAAGCTAGAAAGTTACACTGGAATGCTTCCAGAGTTGACAGGAGTAAAAGGAATAAAGGTGATTTGTGAAGTGCCAATCATGCTGTTAAGGAGACAGGACTTGGACCAGATAAGTGTCTTTGTGTGGACAGAGATCTATGAGCAAGCTTTGATAGGACAGTCAAGAAGAACTACGTGTTTTATGTAGCCGCCTGTGATTGATCAGCTCACCTCTGAAAACATACTTAAGGGGATCCTAATCTGGATGGTGGGGAATATACAGACCCTGCCCTGGTTTCTGCTGTTTCTTAATTTCAGCACTATTCTTGGATTGAGGCATTGGCTCTTTACTTTTCTCTCTTGCCTGTTTTTCAAGATGAGACTATTGTACCACCTGATGTGCCAAGCTATCTGTCCTCCCAGGGGACGCTTTCAGATCGACAAGAAATGGTTGGAAGAGTGGAAAGCAGTCAACAGCCCAATGGTCAAATCCAGAGCAATGGTATGTCTTGGGAAAACAGCACTGCATCCATTTTTTCTTTTTGTAAGAGATGCAGGCCAAGAATTCAGATGTACATTTAGTATTATTTATCACAGAAACTGCTTTTCTGTTCAGAAAGAACACTAGGTGGTTCTGTTTTTCAAGGGAGTTTGAACAACTGACACAGAACAGACTAAAACAAGATAGTTAAGCAGCCTGTATTTGCAGTTTCTCCCCTGGAGGAAAAAGCCTTAAATCCGTAGAGTGTATTGTCACTGATCACCAGGCCATTTCTGTATGTACGTTATACTTTTGTGTGACCTTTAATTATAAAACTCTATAATTCAGGCAGGCAAGTAGATGTAATCTGTTAACTCCCTCAAATGAGCCTCGGAGTCTTCTACCTGTTCCATATTCTGTGATATAAAGAAAATCTCTTCCATGAAGCACTCTGTAAATGCCAAAAAATTAGAAGATGCAGGGGTTAGTACCAAGGCTGAATAGTAAGCCAAGCCAATTTTTTTCCCCCATAAACTTTTCTGAAGTGTCTTCTCTACCTACAAAAGCTGGCTATGCCTGCAACTCGACAGTGTCTTTATCATTCTGCTACAGGTGTTTGCCAGATCAATAGAGGAAGGGATCCAGAGGCTGATGCTCACTCTGTTGTTTACCGACAGCCAAAGATATGCTTAGGCTATAATAAAGAGGCTTGGAAAGGAGAAGATACTCCTGATAGGATGCTTCTTACAGACAAGACAGGTATGAAGTCTTATTAATCTGGGAAATATGCTGCATCCGTTTACTTTCATAAATAAGCACAAGAGTTTTGACTTTCAGAGATGTACATCTTAACAACGTACATCACTTTTTTTCAGTGATATGGCCTCTCCACCTGTTTTGCTAAATAGCAGACTGTCAATAATAATTATACTGTAAAAAGACGGTAGTTGCATAATTCACACTTTTCTCTTGAGCATTATTTATTTATTTAAAGAACCTATATGGCTGCCAGTCTCACACAGCAATCCTGGGCAGCTCACGGCAACCAGAAAAGCAACATAAGAACATACGGTACCCTTTCCACCAAAGCACCAGAGCCACCCATACTGTTGACCCCGTCTCCACCCTAGCCTAGCCTAGCCTAATGCTTCTTATAGGCAAATACCAGTTGCTAGGGCAGAAATGATGAGTAGACACGTGGAAATGTGTGCATTTCTGTGTGGATCCTGTCATTTCAAATACTCTCGGAGAAGAGTCTGATCTCAGAGTCTTTCAGCAATAACTTTGTATTGAATCAGGTGGACTTTTTTACTGATATTCGTAGCAACAGAAATATCTTCCCTGCCACATTTCTGCTTCAGATCATACTCTGTCGATTTTTCAGCTGTACAGGTTGCTAAACCTGCTGTCCTTACTGAATAGCAATTTCCCATTGTAGGAGATTTTTAATAATCATGGTTCTTCTGGTCAACTCTTGACGATGATGAGCTAAAATATACAGATTTCATGACTTGTTTTTTTAAATGCATCACAGGCTTGTTTTGCATAATTTATTTATTATTTGTGATAAAGAAGCCCAAGCAGTTTTTCTGAGTACTAGGATCACTTGAAAACTTACCTGTAACCATCTCAAGCATGCCATGTGCGGCATTTGCAGACTTGAAGAATAGGAACATGTTATTTGTTTACAGTAAATATGGAGTTTCTTGGGAAGCTATATTCATATCCTTTGGCCTTTCTGTACACCTGAAGAACTGTGGCGTGTGCCTACCCAGCTATATGGAACAACGAATGGGGCCCTCTAACATGAAACATAATCTTCCCCTAGATGGGATGAAAACTCCAGAATTCCTAGCCAGTCATCCATGCTGGCTGGGAATTCAGGCCATTGACCCAGAATGTCCTTGGCATGCCTATTAGTGACAAGGAGATCCATGAAACCATCAGTACTTCCTCTATCTGAATATAATCCCAATGTATTAAATTTGTTTTCCTTTCTGTCTCAAGCCTATAGCTTGCCTGCAGCATATACTGACTGCAATGGAAGTGTAGATACTGCGAGTGTCACCGTTTATCCCAAGGATCCAGATTACTATTCTCTGGCTGCAGAGGCCATCCCTCCAAATACTCCCAGTAACAAGGAGTCTGACAAGCATGATGGGATACTTCCTGCTAACTGTCACAGCCCTCTGAACTCTAGTGTGGAGAGTAGAAAATCAGATGTCAATGGCACCATCTACCCTAGCAATCATGACAGGATGGCAGCAGCTTGCCCAGGCAAGCCGTCTCTAGTGGACAGCAAAGGTATGTGCCTATTTTTTGTTTGTTTCTTAAAATATCTCCCACACTTTTCAGGTTACCTTTGGAAGTCAGTCACTCTCATATCTCAGCATATAAAATGGCACACGGATGGAGGACAGACAGCTTAGGTAGGACTACTCCCTTTGCTGCCATCTAGTGGCCATTTGGATTTTTCTAGTCCGGATATGGTAGCCTTAGCTAAGGTCTGCTTCACATTGGTCCTTCCTTTTCCTCCAAGTGATCCCTTTGGAGTTGCTATCTTATATTTAGTTTTCATTCTAGAAACACATAGGAGCCCTCTGGAAAATAAATTAAAAAACCAAGATTGGCTCTAGTTGTTTTTCTTTTTTTAGTCAGCAATTTTGCCCAGGAGGACTGTTGGAGTGCAGAAGCCAAAATAATGCTGGCGGAGAGTATAAAAATTGAGTCCTTTAGTAAAGAGAAAGAAAATAGATTGTTGCAGTAATCTCTGTTATCCAGAACTTATCATAAAACAATAGAACAACAGATCTAAATCAAAGTTTTGCGCAGTGGTATGGCTTGGTAAAGGTATTTGGCAACCTGGAATGTGAGTGACGAGTTAACATCCCCTAAAAAAATGAACATAAAATTTGTCTGTTTGACCCTCAAACATGGAAATAATTGGGGAGAGCAAAACTCATCTTGGAATGTGCCATAAGGGCCACTGTAAGAAGACATTGGCAGGAGTTTCTACCTCCCTAGAGCCACAAGGGCAGTAGAGCAGAAGGGAGAACATTAACACAGGCTGTAGAAAAAGCCCATCTTTATTTACCCAGGGTTAGAATGTGTAAATGCCCCACGATAGAGGGCTTGTGGCAGTGTAACATTTGGTGATAAAATTCAGGAACAGTGGTTAGATCATTCTGATGATCGGTGTCCCTAATTCATTGCTTTACTGTTGATTTGGCCTCTATAAGGTTTAATTGGCCTGTATATTCAGGAGAAAGGCTGAGACTATGTTATTCCTCCATACAAGTTTGATACCAACAAAATTGGTAGCTGTCTATCAACACAGACAGTATCAACCCTGTAGGATAAAACATGCTTCTGAACAATGAAGTTAAAATCCTGCTCCAAGCTTGGCCTTAATGGTTGGTACATTAGCTTCAAGCCTCAAAACTGCATTAGGGACCCATTTTGGAGAACTGAACAGAGAACAAAGGAAGTTCAATTGAATGGTTTCCAACGCCCTTAGGTTTGTAAATGGGCCAGTCTGAACACCATGCAATAGTTGAGCAGCTGTTTTAGCCATAAACAGTTTAATTGCTGCTGGAATGTAATTTGCCCCTTGGTGTCTATAAAATTTGGTTATAGCTAATGTACTCCTTTGGGCAGTAGAAGTGACAGAATTAACCTGAACTGTTGATCTTCTAGAAGCCTGAAAGTCTATGCTCAAATATTTGAAACATTTAACTTGCTCTAGTGGCTGAGCAAGCAGGGTTCCAACCAAGACACGCTAACACAGACCACCACTTAGTGCTATAATTTGTTGTTGTTGTTTAGTCGTTAAGTCGTGTCCGACTCTCCGTGACCCCATGAACCA